TAGCAAGCAAAAATTAGAAGTCAATTTTTCAGTCTTTCATACTAATTTTTCAGCACTCCCAGCTGCTCGATTACACCCGTGGTTATCATACCACTCATTTGAGGAGCAATGTTTCCTTTTAGCAGGCCAATTTAATAGTATCCCTAATCCAGATTCCAGGAGCAGATAAGCCGATGCCACAGGTCATGGCATCCAGCGTTCAGTGGCAAGCATCTCAGCGGTCCTCACTGGGCTGGGTGTACAATTTGCTCCTTTGTTCTTGTTCCAATCCTGCCTCCTGTTAATTCTTCTGAATCAGGTTTTTTCTTGTTGTTGTTGGGTTTTTTTGTTTTGTTTGTTTTATTTTTGGTCAGGAGCACCAGTGACCTCAATCTTGCCAAAGCCAGTAGCTGATTCTCTATTCTTATCTTACTCCATGTTTCAGCAGCATTCAATCTGCTGGACCATCCCTTCCTTCATCAACACTCCCCTTCTCTTGGTGTCTCATGCTCTCTGAGTGTTGCTCCCACCTTGCTGGCTGCTTTCTTTGGATGTTAGGTGCTGAGCCCCCACTCACGACTAAAACTTTCAATCCTGCAGTGTCACAGGATTCCCGTGAGCCATCTTCTCTTCTTCACCTCTACTTCCTTTCCAGTCTCAGGGCTCTCAGTATGAACTATATCAAGAACTCTCCAAACTTCTCTCTCTAACCCGGACCTTTCCTTTGGGTTCCAGACTTGTACATTCAACAGCTCAGTTAACATCTTCACTTGGATTTTGACTACCTTTTTCTTTCTTCTCCTTCCCTTTTGTTTTTTTTATTTTTTGGATGTTCTGCTGCCAGCATTTCTCTTTCCTTGCTTGACTTCATTACACTAACGAATTAATCATAGGTTGGCTACTTACTGGATGTCTATTAGGTATAAGGGTCCTTCTAAGGGGCTATAGAAAAATAAAAATATAGGGCATAGTCCCTGACACCAAGGACTTCATAATTTAGCACAGGGCTTCCCTAGGTTTGCTCCGTGAAAGTAAGGCTCTATGATCAATTAAGTTAGGAAGTAGGTATTTACTTTGTCCCTTTCTTGGAGACTGCCAATATATACAAACCTGTCAAAGGCCTGAGAAATTCTGTGTATTGTTCCAATTTTAGTATATGTGCAGCCTAAGTGAGCACTAAGGCTCTGAGAAATTCTGTTGTAAAGAGACCTGCTTAACTTGGTTTAACACAGCATTTTATTTATTTCTTTTTAAGATTTATTTATTTATTTGAGAGAGAGCACACATGAGCAGGAGGAACAGAGGGAGGAGAGAGAATCCCAGCCTGACGTGGGGCTCCATCTCACGACCCTGAGCCAAAACCAACAGTCGGTTGCTTACGGGACTGTGCCACCCAGGGGCCCCTAACACAGAATTTTCTAAATGTATTTCACTACAGAACGTTCTACTAACATTCTCACAGATTAGAAAATGTCAACTGGGGATATTCCAAATGAGTGGTATAAGTAGAAAATTTGACATTTGCTGAGAGGAAGGCGTGTTCATTTGGGGTAGGGAGGATCATGTAAGGGAATGTGGACGTAGAATTTGAGCTAGCATTGGAAGATGGACTGGATTTATTAGGCAGATATTTATTGAGAACCTATTTTGTGCCAAGTGCTGCGCTAGGCACAGGGCGCTCAAAGTTGAGCCAAATAGACATAGTCTCTGCCCTCTTTGATCTTATAGTCTAGTGAGTCAGCCATTAAAGAGATAAACAAATGAGACAAGCGACAAGTGCTACAAAGAATATAAATAGGGTACAGTGAAGTCAAACACTGTGGCCACCTACCTTGAATGGAATAGTCAGGGAAGAACTTGATGCAGGCCAAGAATCTCTGCTGGTTAACAATGGGGTGATGAAAGCCTCCTCTGATCTTTCTGAAACAAGTTAACTTGCTTCTTCCCTCCCCACATTTTTATATTTCCAGTAAAAAGTTAGGATTATTTACTTTCATTCCTAAATCTAATTGTTATTGTTAATGACAAATATTAAGTGACTTTCATGAAATATCAGGAGTTGGCTAACAATGAGAAATTAAACATAGCCAATCAAAATCTCGCTGTTCCACAGAATGAGCTGGACTCTTCCACTGACACTGAGCAGCTCTTTGCATTAAAAATGAGGCAGCTTTGAAAATAGTCTGTGAGTTTTCCCTAATTGAAATGAAACACAATGTTAGGAGTGGAAATTATTATTTTTTTAAGATTTTATTTATTTGACAGAGAGAGACACAGCGAGAGAGGGAACACAAGCAGGGGGAGTGGGAGAGGGAGAAGCAGGCTTCCCACCGAGCAAGGAGCCCGATGTGGGGCTTGATCCCAGGACCCTGGGATCATGACCTGAGCCAAAGGCAGATGCTTAACGACTGAGCCACCCAGGCGCCCCAGGAATGGAAATTATTTAAAAAGATAAATTACATGGCCCTTATTTGATACCAAAAAAATTTTTTAATTTATTATACCAGCTACAAAAAGCAAAGCATATCAGGAATTTATGAAAAGGGAAGAAACTTTGGCAAAGAAGGCAACTGACTTAAAAGTTATTGTCTAAAGACCTCAACTTAAGGCTAAAATAAAACACACTGTTTCCTCATATTCCTTTTGATTTACCGAAATTCTTCCCATTTCTAGGTGTTACACCTTCAGCATAGGTCCAGTTGCCCCTTTCAAAAGGCTGGTATATGTGTGTGTATATTTTTCTTTGTTTTTTTCTCTTTAAAGATTTTATTTATTTATTCATGAGAGACAGAGAGAGAGAGAGAGAGAGAAGCAGAGGGAGAAGCAGGCTCTCAAGGAGCAGGGAGCCCGATGCGGGACTCAATCCCAGGACCCTGGGATCATGACCTGAGCCGAAGGCAGACGCTCAACCATCTGAGCCACCCAGGCGCCCTGTATGTGTATATTTTTTTCTTTATTTTACTTTTTTCTCTCTAGGAGTCAATAATGATATTATCAACACTCCTAGGAAAGCACATTAATGGTTTTCCTTTTAACAAAAGTAGTATATAATGATTCATAGGTGGACCTACATTTGTATGTAGTTTTTAAGACTCACTAACTGCAAACTGGTCAAAATCCATCATTACCTGCTTTAACCAGGCGCACTGCACACTCGCCGGGGCTCACGCCGTGCAAATCTCCCTCTGGGCCGATGCACATGGTTGCTGCCACAGGTTTCCCAGATGTTTTCAAGGCTTCCACTGCCCACACAGCCTCTTCAACATGCTCGAAATACTGAAATAAGATCAGGTTAACATACTTTTTTATCTTGTTTCTCCCCAAATGATTAGAAAACTTATTTTAGTGCTTAAAAATTATCACTAGATGAGTGGTCTTCAAACTTTGAGTTGTGACCTATTAGCATTTTTTTAAAATGGAATAGAAGGGTGATTACTGTGAATTGCAGTCAAAAGGTTTGAAGAACACTTCAGTAGATTAACTGAATCAAATTCAGTAGAAGCCCTAAATTGGAAAAAAGATTTTAAAACTAGATATTTACTAGCCATGATTGGCAACTAATTTCACATCCTCCTCATGAAAACACAAGGTAGAGAAAATGTACTAAGTGCGTATGTCTCATCTTTGGTCATATCTTTGTTTACCTCGGCAATCAAGAAGTCCACGTTCTTCTTCATAAAGACCTCTAACTGTTGCTGAAATACTTTTTTAACTTCAGTTTCTCTCTTGCAACTAAGGTATGAAGGTGTTTGACTCACGCCTCCTGCCACCAAAGCGTCTCCCTCATCAGCCACTTGCCGGGCAATGTCACAAGCAGCTTCATTGACTTTCTGCCCCTAAAATGGGTGAAATGGGATATATCTACATTTTCACACAGAATTGAAACCAAATTATTATTCAAATGTCCACATCTCAGTTGGATGTTACCATAGAGAGATTATTCTAGAAGATGACAGTGATAGAATAGTTCAATTTACCAAGCTGAGCAATTGCAGTAACACCACCACCAATAATAGTAATGAAAACACTAAATGATGATGGTATCTAGGATATTACATACCAAAGCTCTGTGAGAGGATAAAAATCTTTACATAAAAGGATCTGGTATCTTCCAGTGCCTAAGCTGCACTTAGAAGAATACCTAGCAAATAGTGGTGGTGATGATGATGATTTGCTCTTAAGATCAACAAGAATAAAATGTAATTAAAATGACTACAGAATTCATGAATTTTTGTCATTATGTATTTTCTTAATGGATAAATGCATCGCACGGTATTTTCTAATTACTTAGACATTAAAAACTGACACTTGACTTCGATAAACCCCAGTGCTGTAGTTCACACAGACTTATGGAATTTTAGACCCCCTTGTTTTGGGGTGCCTGGGTGGCCCAGCCAGTTAAGCATCTGACTCCTGATCTCAGCTCAGGTCTCGATCTCATGGTTGTGAATTCAAGCCCTGCATTGGGTTCCATGCTAGGCGCGGAGCCCATTTAAAAACAAAAACAAACAACAAACTTCTTTTTCATCATAGGGATTGAGAAATTGTCACTTTGATGGCGTAGGTAAATGGTTTGCCCAACATGACACAGTTGATAGCTGAGTCAGGAAGTTTCCAGGGTCACTGTGCCCTTCCTTGTGCCTTTGACCTTTCTCCTACATTGTCCCACATTAAAAAACTGTAAGGATGTAAGAATTTGTAAGGATACCCACTCAGCAACTTAGGAGACTGGGAGAATCATTAATCATTAACTATATCTTCTTCGATATGCTTCATTAAATGCCTTTCTGTCAATTTTGGGGACTCCAGCTAAAACCTCAAAGAGGTATTCACACAGTAAAGTATGGTGATTAACGTAACATAATAAAATAAAATAAAATAAAAGAGTTATTCACACATATTTCTATATTATCTAAAAACTACATTCTGAGTGACTGGGAAAATGTTCTTTTTATAAAATGCTAGTGAGATTTAGCAGGTGTTCGTTTTTGTCAGGAGAATTAACTGCACAACATAAGAAATCAGCAATCCTGTATCACACATATCTCATTTCTGTAGTATCTAAAAACTCAACATTTTTCTCTATGAGAACTTTGGTGATGACATGTGTGTCTACTATGCCCTTCTAAAAATGCCAGATATGGCTTTACTCACAGATATTTTCTCTGCAACATAGTTTCCCCTGTTCTCCAGCTTGTCTTCACTTGCATAAAAGGTGAAGGTTTGCATGACGTTGGATCCAGCTCTGAGGAACTCTCGATGAAGCTGGCGAACTGGGAGATTGAATGAGGAAAGGTATTAATTACTATCAGTTTATAACCCATGATGCTTTCAAAAGGCTACCAGATAAACAGATATGAAAGTATCTGCTTATCAAAATATCATTCTTTGCTTGGCACTTGCGCATCCTGAGAGCGAATGAGAGGTAGATCTGGGGGCTCTTGCTACGAAGAAGAGATTATTTCTACCATGGATGTGGGGTGAAGGGAAGAGGGAGGGAGGTCCACAGGGGAGGAATCATTTAATGTTTTTGCTGGGCAAAGGTGGGGAAAAGCATTCCCTACTGAGGGAAGGGTTTGAACAAAAAGAAGGAGGCAGGAATAGGCTTGGTATTTGGGGGTGCCGCAGGTGGGGTTGAGGATGTATCAGAGAAGTAGTAGGAGATGCAGTTGGAGAGGAGGCTGGGCTGCAGAGTACAAGTGGCCCTAGCACATCATCTCAAGGAGTCTAGGCTTCAGACCACAGGTATGGGGAAACACCAGCACTTCGTAAACAATTGAATGATGTGATTAGCTCTGTGTATTTGAAAGATAATTCTGGTAGTAGAGTGGAATAAGAACTAGAACAAGGCTCCTAAGCAGAGGTCCATGGATAAGTGTCAAATGGCAAAGTTTTCACAGGCTAAAGAAAATACGATGGGGCATTTCCCCCCCATATAACCAATTATATTCAATTTAAGGGATTATCCTTTGCTCTAAAATAGTGGTCCTAAACTCTGGTTGCCCATTAAGACAACCTGTAAGCTTTTTAAAAATAATGGATGTTGGGGTCAAATCCACAGATATTCTAATTTAGTTGGAAGCTGATTTTTATCTTCCATTTTGCTGAGAACCACCATTCCGAGGGACTGGGAAAATGCTCTTTTTATGAAATGCTAGGGAGACTTAGCAGGTGTTCGTTTTTTTCAGGAGAATTAACTGCACAAAGTAAGAAATCAGCAATCCTGTATCAGGCCCTGAAATCTATTTTGAAATTTTAGTGGCCTTTCAAAGCCAAAGATTTGGGAGTAACTACATTAGAGGCTCGGAAATTTTTGGGACACTGGAATTCCTAGCCCTTTAGCCTGGTACCTTTGCATCCTGGGGGCCTAGTACAGTGCAGAGAACATAGGAAGCTCAGTGTGGTTTTTAAATGAACAAATCAGTGAGGCCAGGAATCGTCTGAATTTCAGAAAATGGTTTTGTTTTTTTTTAAGATTTTATTTATTTATTTGACAGCGAGAGAGGGAACACAAGCAAGGGGGAGTGGGAGAGGGAGAAGCAGACCTCCTGCCGAGCAGGGAGCCCGATGCGGGGCTCGATCCTAGGACCCTGGGATCATGACCTGAGCCAAAAGCAGACGCTTAACGACTGAGCCACCCAGGCGCCCCAGAAAATGGGTTTCTAAGCATGGAATCTCTAGTTCTGAGAGGGAACTTAAAAGCATGCCTAATGAGGAAGCTTCAAGCTTGTTTTAATTAGCAACAGAACCCATTAAAGACATTTTATTTGGAGCCTCTGTTCATCGATCAAACACAGAGTTTCGGTGGTTGGAGCAGTGTGAAGGGCCTATTGATGAGGTCCCCGTACACTAGGAGGAAATGGTTTCTGAACAGGAAGTCCACCCAGCTGGTCCTTGGGTGGATTTCCAGAGACTGTTAAAAAACCGTGGAATGGTGTGCAAATTGTGCATATGTACGTTTTACATGGCATTTTACACCCTTTTATCAGATTTTCGCAGAGGGTAGTGGCCCAACTCCTTGATCTTAATCGATTAGATTATTCTACCATGCTTCTTAAAGCTGCAGTGCTTCTCAAGTGTGACCCAACTTAGACTCACCTGGGCGCAATGAATATGAATTCAGATTCCCCCAAACCTCCCCTCCCGGATCCAGCAACCTTAATTCTTTGCTGAATTCTATGCTGATTCCACTGGGTGCAAGAACCACAACTTCTGACATAGACTTTAGTAGGAGAATTAGTGCACTCAAATAAGCCCCAAATACTCAAGAAACAGATGGCCAGGAGATAAATGTGCTGTTTCTGTATTAAGAAAGTCAAAATCAATATCAGAGCAGTTTCTCTGGAGCTCCTCCAATGTATAACTTTAAAAAAATGTGACTTGTAAAATTGAAGCTTGTGTTTAAATAACAGTCTTATTTTATTTACGTGGCAGAGTTTCCACCAAGGTAGCTTATTGTTAATACCAGTTTCACCCAAGAAATATTTCACTGAGTTTAACCCAGCAAGCAGACCTTAAGAAACAAATTGCAGATACATTTTAAATCCTCATTCTTGGATCTTAATTATTCTATTGCATTCCTTAAAGCCCTTTAATGCAATGCTTCTCAGAGTGTGGTTCACCTTGCTATCACCTGGGGACAGTTATAAATATGTGGGTTCCTCGACCCACTCACAGACCTAATGAATCCAAATCTCTAAGGGAAGGCTGGGAATCTATAATTTTTAACAAACTGCTGGTGCAATGAAAATTTGAAGACTAGTGCTCTTTTAGCTTCCAAGCCTACTGAATTCTCTCTTTTCCCCTTCCTTCCTTCCTCCCTCCCTCCCTTCCTTTCTCTCTTTCTCTCTTTCTTTCCTTCTTTTGGGCAGAACACAGTATTATTTCTACTTTTTTTTTTATTATGTTATGTTAATCACCATACATGACATCATTAGTTTTTGATGTAGTGTTCCATGATTCATTGTTTGCCTATAACACCCAGTGCTCCACGCAGAACGTGCCCTCCTTAATACCCATCACCAGGCTAACCCATCCCCCCACCCCCTCCCATTATTTCTACTTTTATTTGGAAATATAAAAGTTGTGTATATTTGCCAGGCTATATACATGGCTATATATGACTATAGTTCTTTTACTTTGAATATGATTTAGGGGTAGTATGATTTGAACACAAAATTTCTGTACTTCTCTAGCAGAAATGGATGAGTACAACCAAGATACTACCAAGAGAAGAAACAATGAATTTAATAATAGTTAATAATTGTAGTGTACATGCATCAGGCAGTATTTTAACGAGTCTACATATAACTTATTTAAATCTCATAACAATCCTACGAGGTAGATGTCAATATTATCTCAGTTTTATAGAAGAGGAAACTGAGTCCCAGAGAAGCTGAGTAATTTCCCCAGAACCACACAGCCTAGTGGCTGTCAGAATTTGATTCAATTAGTCTGGATTCAGAATCTGTTTGCTTAATCTTAAACCTGTACTGTCAATTTATGTGCTTTGTTAGTTTCTGGCCTTTATCACTGAGTTCACTGAAATATGCTCTTTAATAAACATTAAAGACAACTGTTCAACTTGTATAATATTCCCAAGAACTTCCTCCAGTTTCCTCTGAAAGAGTCAGCTGCTTTCACAGTGTTGGCCACCGATGGCTGTGGGCTGAGACCTTCTCTAGGAAGTGCCCTGGGCCAAAGGGAGCTTCCTTGCAAAGGGCTAAGCCCTCTCCTGAGAAAGGGGAGAGTTGATAGTTTGCATGCAATGCTTGGTCTCTTGGTAGGAAGAGAGCAAAGATCCAGCTCCCTTGCCTCGATGTGGGACTACTCTGAAGGGCCTGTCCCCCTCCAGAGCTTCCTGAGGGACTGGCCAAGTCGTCTGTAACAACTGCATCACAGTGTAACGCCTCCCCCTGCCCAATCCTGCTTCCCCTACTCCCTTCGAGGTGCTATTTCATAAGTGCACTCCCTGTTAAAACTCCTGAGTACAAATCTCCACTTCTGGCTGGCTGGTCATGAGCAACTACCTCATGATGGGTGATAGAGCTCCCAGCATGCTCTAGGAGTACAACTGTTTGAAAACTTTCATCCGTGGTGACCTGGAATGAGATGCCCTTAGGCAGGAATGTACTAGCTGGTGCAGTATCTCAGCTGTTTCAGAGGTTCAGAGGCAACAGTCATTATAAGGACTTTAGAATCAGATGGCTATTATTGGGTATGACCAACGTACTAGAGAAAGACAATGAAAGGTTAAGGGTGATTCATCACCAATTTAAGGCAAAGTATGGACGTCTGATGGTCTCCTGGGTGGCATATAAAGAAACTCACCTCTTGTAGCTAGCGGGCAGAAAAAGCTGAGGATCTGGCCCCGGACTAAATTATACAGGGAGCAGAGAGTCAGAGAGGTTGAATTCTCAACCAGGCAAGCCTTTTATTGCCAAAGTCAGGGCCTGATTAGGAAGAATTGGGTCCCTGAGATTGGGATGAAGGCATATGGGTGGAGTCACTCATGAACCTCAAAAACCTGGATCCCCCTTGAACTCTCTGGGCCTGCAGAAGTGGCCCATTTCTCCCTTTTAAAGATTAATGCTTCCTACTTGGTTTAGGCTGATACAGAAGCCTTGTAAGACGGCATTATCTCCCTTATGTGCCATCCCAACAACCCCTCTTGGCACTTCAGTATAAAAGATTTGTGGTCAAAAAAGTAAAGTGAGAATATGGTGTGTGGATACAGGTGCAAGGTAGGTAGACAGTTGAATTTAAATAGGATGGATGAGTATACAGTGGATTTAACTAGTTGGCAAATGGACAACAGAGGAGGTCCTATCTACAAGACAGTGATTCATACTGTAGGTAAGGATGTACGATGACCATATGGGGAGAGAATGGATAAGAAATGCTAACACGGAAGGGATGAAGGACTGAAAATCTTGATGAGGTTGAGGAGTGGGAGAATTAGAGTGAGCAGAAAAGATAGAAGGTGGTGGTCAGAGAGTGGGGTCCTTGTAATCAAGATTTCAGAAGTAGACAGTGGTGATGGCAAGGTCTAGGAGTGGGTTGCTGAGGTGGAGGATGGAGGAAAAGTTCAGTTGGAGATGAGGAGGAGATCAAGGCACTGACCGGAAGAGTCCTGGATAGACCATCTGCACAGACATCAAGGTCCTCTAGAGAGGTGAGGGAGGGAAGGGCAGAGAGGAAGGCAGCAAGCCAGCTTCTAGACTCACCTACAGTGAAGGGCAGGAACCAAGAGGTAAATATGGGTGACAGCAACAGGGAGGGCCACTGTGATCATCCAACATGTGAATCTGTCCTTACATACCTAGCACAGTGCCCAGCAGGCAATAATAGATGTTGGGAAGTGTACCGTAAATGTATCTGTTTGATGGTATGCTCCTAGACCATCATTGCAGTGCTCTTTTATGAGAACTTAGAATAGAGCTATGCACCAACCTGCTTCTGGATGTTCCACAGCAGCTTCTGGAGTCCAGGGGCCTGCCTTCACGTAGCCCCTCTTCTCGAGTGCAAAGACAAACCCTCCATCTCCAATCACAACTTCTCCAGAGTTTAACCGTTCTAGAATGCCCTAAAATTATAGATGAGGGGGAAGGAAAGGAGTTACTTGAGTTTTGTTTTTTTTTTTATGGAAGACTTTTTTATTGTTATGTTAATCACCATATATTACATCATTAGTTTTTGGTGCAGTGTTCCATGATTCATTGTTTGTTCATAACACCCAGTGCTCCATGCAGAACGTGCCCTCCTCAATACCCATCACCAGGATAACCCATCCCCCTCCCCCCCTCCCCTCTAGAACCCTCAGTTTGTTTTTCAGAGTCCATCATCTCTCATGGTTTGTCTGGAGTTACTTGAGTTTTTAAGACAATTTTCTATTTTTAGTACTTTTGCTATCATATTCTTGAGAAGTAGGATTTCTTCAGAATTCTCAGAAAGTACATGTATTTATAAATTCATGACTATAAGGCAAACAATCAGAATTTCAATTTTCATTTCACATAATGAACATGTGTGTATACATGTGCTGGGGGTGGGGGTCTTTCCGAACACATTAAAGAATTTAAAAATTTATTTTTTATTTTAATTTTTTAAAAAAGATTTTTTAATTTATCTATTTAGAGAAAGCATGAGCAGGGAGGGGCAGAAGGAAAAGGAAAGAGAGAATCCCAAGCAGGCTCCACACCCAGCGCAGAGCCCAATATAGGGCCTGATCTCACAACTCTGAGGTCATGACCTGAGCAGAAATCAAGAGTGGGAAGCTTAACCAACTGAGCCACCCAGGTGCCCCAGAACACATTAAAGTATTTTAAAGAATATGGTGGGCGGGCACCTGGGTAGCTCAGGTCATGATCCTGGAGTCCCGGCATCGAGTCCCACATTGGGCTCCCTGCTCGGCAGGGAGTCTGCTTCTCCCTCTGACCCTCTTCCGTCTCGTGCTCTCTATCTCTCATTCTCTCTCTCTCAAATAAATAAATAAAATCTTTAAAAAAAAATTAAAAAAAATAAAGAATATGGTGGGAGAATGTTATCTTTGAAGAAATATCTACAGAAGGATTAAAAGAAAAGGTTTTATCAAAAACTAATGATGTACTACATGGTGATTAACATAACAATAAAAAATTTAAAAAAAAGAAAAGGTTTTATTGTTTAGCTTCAAATGCATACTTAAGCACACTTTCTAAAATGGTGAAAGCTAGTCTTCTTATTCTATGGATAAGCAGTCCTTACAGTTGGCCTTGACCCCTGCTGTCTCCCTGGGGGCCTCTGTCAGCCAGGCAGGGGCACGGCACTTTGACACCCCGGGGTCAAGTATATTCCCTCCTCCGTCCATGCCTCTTTTCCCACCAGCCCAACCATAGTCTGGCGGTCAGTCTGTCTGTCTGCTCCATCCATCTATCCATCCATCCTTCCATCCATCCATCCACCCCCCAATCTAGTCTGGACTGAAACACTCATTCCAACTAGGGAAGAGATACGAGTGTCATTAATCAGGTGCTGGAGCTGCTGGGTTTTGGTTTTTAAATCTTATTAACAGCCCTTATTTCAATATCTTACAGCCCCTGGGCCCGTTCACTGCCACCCCCCACCCCGGATTGAATGGTACATTTTGTTGTGATCGCAGAAACCAAACTGTGGGCGAAAACGTACCAAGGCCCAACCAACGCGTTAGCCTTGTTGCCGCGGCGGGACTGGGAAGCTTGCACGCCAGAACCGGGCAGGGAGGCGGCCCCGGGATTCCGGATTCCGCGGCACCCGTCGGGGCGGGGGCGGGAAACGGTAGGAACCCGGGCCGCGCGCCTCCCTGGCCGGCCCACGGAGGGCGCAAAGGGGCGCGCATGGCAGCGAAGGCACAGACGCGGGGTGGTTGGGGCGCGCCCAAAGGCGCCCCTCGTCCCACCGCTGTGGGGGAGAAACGTCGTGCGTTTGGGTCTAGGAGCCGCACTTCTCGGGGAGTGCTCTCGTGTTGGGGTGCGGGACTCAGAAGATGTTGGGCGTTTTGGAGTTCTGGGGGTGTCCTCGAGTCCGGGGTCACGTAGATCTAGGGCGCGCTCGGGCTATGGGCAGGGGTGTTGGGGGGAGCTCAGAGGCACCTTGGAGTCCTGCCGAGAAGTTATGAGAGCACCTTCTGGTCACAACCAGGCTCCGAGGACCCCTCTGCACTTCCTGAGGCTGGGGTGTGGGGCCGGTGGGCCGAGACTCAGAGCCCCCGCTGAGATGGAGAATGCCCTCGGGTCCCCCCGCAGACTCACCCTCTTGGCCTTTTTGCCCCCAACGGGTGCCATCTTCGAGGTGTCCAGACGGATACTAGGTACGGATGCGGACCGACGAGGTGAGCGTTACCCCGAGCGAAGCCTGGAGCTGCCTCACCGCCGCGGCCAGGCTCTTTATACCGTGTGCTGAGCGCGGGGTGGGTTTCCCCAGCCTTGGCGCGTCCAATGCGCGCTTTGCGCGGGAACACGCCTCCCCAGCGTTTTTTATTGAGGCCTGGCGGCTAGTTGGGAACTTTGCCCTGCGGAGATGATCTGGACTGTTCTCTCAAATCGGTGAACACACAAGACAAGTAAAATAAGAAAAAGATAATACTGAGGTTGCCACTCGCTCACGTTTCTACCTTACCTACGCACGGAATCTCTCCCCCACCCCCCACCGCATAAAGGGGTCCCGACCCTGATTTACCTCTCTCTTGTCTGGAATCATGCACCATTACCCACTTAAGACACCAGAGGAGGCCCCTAAGAATTCCATTCATGCACAAATATTTGTCAAAGGCCAGGATACAAGGTTATTGAATGAGGAGGCGATGCCCTGAAAGAAATTCAGTCTGAAGTGTGATCTCGGTGAAATACAACCAGTAATTGTGCAACGACATACAAATGTAGCATTTACAGAAGGGTCTGATAGGAACTTTGAATTAGTGGGTATGTTCAAAATGACCATCTGCCCTTATATCCAAAAATGCGGTGCAGTTTCTAATAACACAGTAGTTTCTTGTAAGAATAGCTTTGCAATATTTAACCAGGACAGACTTCTAACATCTATATATCATAGTGGAAATAGACCTTAGACACTTCAAAATGCAGTTCAAAAACTGTGTAAAAACCTAGAGGCATCAGAAAAACTGGAAGGAAATAGAAATGTTAATAGTAGTTGTCTGACGATGGTGGAATTAGGGCTTGCTCTTACTTCATTATATTTTACTGTATTTTCCAAAATATGTTTACAATGAGAACACATAGATTTTAAAATAATAAAAAACATTACTTTAAAAAATCTACAACATGACAGTAAGTATCCTAGAGGAAAACTAGAAATCTTGAAACAGAGTTCAGAAACTTTTACCCAAATAAAAGCACACAAGGAAATTTTGTATGTGCAACAGTAGCTTCCATTTCAACATATGCAAAGAAGGAGATTACTGTAGCAAATGATGAATTAATAGAAATTTAATTTTTAAGATGTGCACTCGAGATACAACTGAGAAAGTAGAAAAGTCCTTTTGGTTGTGATAACTGTCAAGTTGAAAATGGGGAAAAAAATGTAAGAATGATGGATGCATATGTTGTAATTTAAATAATGTAATGTTTCAGTTGCCCGGCAAGAATGAGGAATGAGGTAATGTCATCCTTCCCAATGCTTTTTCGACCATTAAAGCAATGGACTGTCTAAGTAGCTAATAGTTTAGTTAATGCACTGAGTACTTAATAGTTGTACCCTGATGAGAATTGGAGAAAAGAGCAGGTTCAGAGTGAGCCCCACGGTGGCGGCAGGGAGTAGATGTAGTGGTGGGTACCAGGCGCTAGGGGGCGGTATCAGGGCTCTGACAGTAAAAGCGGAACGCAGACATTCTCAATTTCACCGTTCTAAATTTAGCAAAACTTAGGAGAGATTTTAAAGCATTAGCACTTAATTTAAAAATGAATTGTGAATTTTTAGTAGATAATATAGACACATGGCAAAATTTTAAAAAGTCTTTCCCCAGCTGCTCCTCCCAGGAGGTAACCATTATTCCCTATTCTTCCAGAGGAACTCTACGCATATCTAAGTGTATACATGTATAGATAAGGATTTGTATTTGTTTATTTATTTAATTTATTTTAAAGATTTTATTTATTTATTTGAGAGAGAGAGAGAGAGAGAGAGAAACAGCATGAGAGGGGAAAAGGTCAGAGGGAGAAGCAGGCTCCCCGCTGAGCCGGGAGCCTGATGTGGGACTTGATCCCAGGACTCCGGGATCATGACCTGAGCCAAAGGCAGTCGCTCGACCAACTGAGCCACCCAGGATTTGTATTTAAATATAGGAAGTTTTAGTTATTTAGACACTTGTCCACCTCTAACTTTTCCAAAATAATTTATGGGCAGTTGAAATATTTTTGTTTTTTCCACAGCTTCTCAGTTTGCTATCATACCTCCCCACCCCCATCCCAGTTAGGGCCATTAAACAGAATTCAGTCACCTAGTAGTTCCACAATAGATAATAATATCCACAGTTCACTGTTTACTATGTGCGAGGCGCTATATTAGGCCTTTTACATACACAGCATTGTTTACCCCTCATTACTCTGTGAAGTAGGCTCCCCCACTTTGCACTCAAGAATATGAAGTCAGAAAGCTAGAGCAGTTATCAGTGTGACTTCTAAACTTCCTTTGCCCCATTCCCAAAGGACTAAGTTCACTTGCATACCACCTGGGGAGTGAATTTTGTAATAGCTGTTCTTGGGAGGCTGCCCATGTTCTCTGTTCTCTGCTAGAGCAATGAGATGACCGAGTTCATAACACTGAAGTCTTTGGCCTCTTACACAGCTGTTTGGGGTTAAGTAAATCCTGAAGAGAAGAAGGAGGGTTAGAGCTGGAGATCCAAGCCTGAGTCTTCAGTTTTATAACCTTCAAATGGAGGTTGTCATTCTGTTTTCTACTGGTGCTTTGCTCTGCTTAAAACCCCATTTATTTATTCGATAAACCTTAAAATGTTTCATTCATACAGTGTTTCAAACACCTTCTTTGGAGTCAATTGGTCCTTGACTTTAGTCTATTTTAAGATTCTTACCAGTACACAGCCCTCAGTTGATATAGAAAAATAATAACATATTTCTAAATAGCAAAATTGGCATTACCCACCAGCTTCTGAACCTCAGAATATAGGAACATATATATTTTTCAACTTAACATATGCATATAATAAGAACCCCAAAGAGTAAAAAAGGGCATCCATAAAAAAATAAGGTTCTCTAAATTCCAGTTCAACTTTTTTATAACTTACCCAGCTTAAAGAATTTTGGAAAAAATCTGGTACTTTCAGAAACCTGCTTCCAATGGTACCAGTACACATGCACCAGAATAGCTGAAATGGAAAATATGAGATGTTGGGGAGGATGAGGAGTGACTGGAACTCTCATTGCTGCTGGTGGGAGCATAAATTGGCACAACTGTTTAGAAAACAATGTTTGGCCAGTGTCTTTTAGAGCTGCACATATCTCTGTCAAGCAGTTCTACTCCTGGTGGAAACATGTGTGAGCATTCCTCAGAAGACATTTATAGGACGTTCATAAATGGCCCAAACTGAAAAGTACTCAAACGCCCATCAGCGATAGAATAGATCAATGAGTTGTGACATAGTTACACAAGGGAGTGCTGTACCCAATGCGAAATAGTTCACTTATAACCACATGTGACGATATGGATGAAGCTCACAAACAGTGTTGAGTTAGAGAAGCCAGACACAAAAGGGCAATCCTATAAGATTATAGTTATATGACGTACAAAAACAGGCAACACTAAGCTATCCTCTTAGAAGTCACATTATTGATGACCCTAGGGGGAGGGGAGAGTGATGAGGAGGGAATGGTGTACTTTTGGGATGCTGATAATAGTCTATTTTTTTATCTTAGCGCTATGCACGTGTGTTCAGCTTATGAATATTCACTAAGCTGTACACTTACAACATATGTACTGTTTTGTGTATGTATCTTATACTCGAATAAAAAATTAACAACAAAAATAAAAATGACATAAAACAGCTGCTTGGACTTTTGTGTATCCCACAAAAAGTCCAATGAACTAAATAAACTAAAAAAATCTAAAAGAAGCCAGTCCAGATTTTGAATACAGTCATTTTACTGGTGGTGGGGAATGATTCAGGCAGACAGAATTAACTCTAATTGTTTTCTTATTATAAAAGTAATTCATTTTGAAAAATAAATTCAGTACTTATTATATACAAACGGTACCCCAAATTCAAAAGGTCATGAATTGTTAATGAGATTAGCTATACCAGCATGATCTAGAATAAACAATAAAAAAAATTAAAACGCTATTTCAGGGTGTCAGTTTCATTTTATTTTTAAATGACTGTTAGATCAGCATTGCATAATGTGTAGATCCATTTTTTAAAAGGTAATTTCATTTTAATTAATGAGTTAATTAAAATAGGTAAGATGTTTACTTGGTCCAAAATTCAAAAATTAAAAAAGGGCATCCTGTTCCTCGTGGCACCCAGCTGCAGTCCACCGACGTTCCAGTTCCTTTGTGACCATTCAGAAATATTATATGCACATACAACAAATATGTATAAACATTTTTGCCCCCCACTTAACCAACCAGTAGTGCACCATAGACCCTGGTCTTTATTTTGCTTGCTTTTTTTTTCCCCTTAACATATCTTCTCAATCATTTCACATTAATAGGCAAGGAGCTTCCTCTTTTTTTTAAATGCCTTAATATTTTATTGTATAATGTAGCAGGATTTATTTAGCCTGTCCCTGTTGATGGGTAGCAACATTATTTCCAGACTTTGCCACTTCAAATAAAATGGAAATGAACAGCTTTCTACCTACATTATTTCATACATTTGAATAAATATCTCTCTAGTAAATCTAGAAGACTAGTTAACTTTGGACCATCAATATTCATTTGCTTTCTCCATGTAATCATTTTAGTTTTGAACTTAAAACAATCAAAACTGAGTTCTAGAGTTCTAGAGTCAAGGGTTTTCAGGGAGAAGAGATTGATTGACCCATGCACTCATTAATTTCTTCAACAAATAATTATCGAGTCCTTCTTTATTCTCCCCGGTGAACAAAAGAGACAACATTTCTCGCTGCCCTGTTGCTTACATTCTGGGGTGTGTGTGTGTGTGTGTGTGTGTTGCTGAGTGCAGGTAGGGAGAGGAGAAAGACAACACAAAAAATGGCTTAAGTTATGTATATGTCAGGAAAGGTTAAATAATGCCCTGGAGAAAAACAAAGCAGGGATGGGGAGTAGGTCATTCCAGGAATGGTGTCGCACCTTTTGACAGGGCCAACAGGCCACTGTAAGGACTTGGCAGTTACCCTGCATGAGCTGGGGGCCGTGGGAGGATTTTTCCTACCATTATGTTTTTTCTTTCTTTTTGAAAAATAATGGTTTTTATT